GTGTGTGTGTGTGTGTGTGTAAGTGTTTTTTTCTAAACAACTCAACCTGGTTTCATCTATCAACTGGATATTTTTCCAGTAGCACTGTGAAACAACCAGGCATGATTTTGCAAACTTCTGATGTGTAAAAAGTTTTTTTTTTTTGGAAAACTGTACCTCCCTCTGTGGTGTCCCATAAACACCATTTAAACTCCAGAACCCACTGAGTATTCTATGCTGTGGTCTTGAATTCAAAGTGTAGGACACACACTCATAGGGAGACTAGCGACTAGCAGGGTAGGCGATTTGGTTCAAAATACATTTTTGTTATGCTGGTTGAAAGTCTCTTCACATCCCGATAGCAGTCACTAAGTTAAGTGGTCTAAATGTAGTTATATGTATTTATACTGTCTGTGGAAGGTGTAGGACCATAATATTTTCATACAATCATATTCCTCGGTCCGAGGATTTCGATAGGCTGTCCTACCTGCCTGTCAACATTTGTATTTGCATACCTCTGCGCACCCTGTTCACACAGACATGATTCGTTGCATTCAACCCTCCACCAATGCCATCTCTCATCGTGTCGCTGGTTAGCTTCTGGTCTGCCTGTGCGCATTCATGTGTTTAGGAGGAGGCGTGGCTTTGCAGAGTGATTACACAGGGAGGGAGGGATCTTGCTTTCAAAGCTAACTTGCTAATGCTTGCCTTTCCGAAATTGTCTAATTACCACTCTACCATATTACCATCCAAATTTCTTACTTCTGTCTTTATTTAAAGGGGACCTATAATGCAAAAATCACTTTTACAAGGCTTGCTGTAGCTGCTGGAGATATACAATGTCAGCACCAAAGAGGCATTGTAAGTTATAATAATAATATTATAAGGCTAAAAACACATCTCTTCCATCTTTATTTGACCCTCTAACTCTAGCACTCTATATTCTAATTCTATTCTTAAAAAAAAAAAACTTGTCCCTTTTAGACTTGCACTCTATTCATTTGCTGCTTGTTTTTCTTAAACAAAAAACACTAACTTCTCTAATCTTTTTGCATTCTATCTATTTGTTCTATTTATCATACAATTAACAAAAGCAAAAAAGACCTCTAACACTAGCTTGCTCTATTCTTTTTCTATTCTATCTGTTTTCTTTTTATTTATTATATTATTTAAAAAACCCTTGCTACGTGTACTGCGTTAAGCTAACTGAGACTTGTTATAGCACTTGTATATCATTGCTCTTTTGTTGATTTTGATTGCTTCCATTGTCCTCATTTGTAAGTCGCTTTGGATAAAAGCGTCTGCTAAATGATTAAATGTAAATGTAAATGTAAGTGTTGTGTTTTGGGATGCACCAATGAATATAGGAGTTATATTTTGTTCCAAATTGCCTTTCTGAAAGAGCTTCTTGGCACTCTGTAAGGTTAATGTTGCTAAAGCTACCATCATCTCTGCCGGTTTTCACTGATGCTGCCTTTACGTGCTACCAGAACGATTGTAAATAGGAAGGTGGTAGTTCAAAATTGCATATGAAAGCAATGTGAAGTCGACCGCTTGAATTTGTTGACCTCATAATCACTAGTTCAAGTTCAAGTTTAAATACTTTATTGTCATTCTAGCCTTTCAACAAGTATTGAAACGAAATTGCATTTCTCCGAGCCCAATGCTCAATGTGCATAATAGTGCAAACATAATAATAAAAAAAAAAACATTACATATATCACAACAACAAATACCATGATATACATTACTATACATCTTAAGGTAGTGCAAAAATGGATGTATTGCACATGATTACACTATGAGTGCATAATCAATACTGCTCAAAAGTGTCAGAACAGAAGAAACCACATATATGATTCAACTAATCTGTACATATATAACAGCAGTCCATCAGGTAGCAGCATAGGGAAGAATAACATAAATGAATCAATCAGTCCATACCTATATAATCAACAGTCCATCAACCAGTATATCTGTATATGTCAATGTGAGTTGAGCAGTCTAATAGCTTGTGGAAAGAAGCTATTTCTGAATCTGGCAGTCTTGTATCGCATACTTTGATAGCGTTTGTCAGAAGGCAGAAGGGTGAACAGTCCATTGGCAGGATGGGTGGAGTCACTGATTATTTTGTAGGCTCTACTAAGGCAGCGTGTCAGATGTAATTCCTGTATAGACGGAAGAGAGGTCCTGATTATTTTCTCTGCTGTCCTTACCACTCTCTGGATAGACTTCTTGTCTGCAGCTGTACAGCTACTGAACCAGACTGAGAGGCTGCTGATCAGAATACTCTCTATTGTGCCTCTGTAAAAGGTTGTAAGGACAGGAGGGGGAAGGTTTACGCTCCTCATCTGCCTTAGGAAGTGCAAACGCTGCTGAGCCCTCTTTACCAAGGAAATGGTATTAGTGGTCCATGACATGTCTGCAGTGATATCCCCAGAAACTTGGTGCTTCTGACTGACTCCACAGTACTGCCATTAATTGTAAGTGGATTATGAACTGTCTGTTTCCTCCTGAAGTCAACAGTAATCTCTTTTGTCTTGCTGACATTCAGTGACAGATTGTTGTTGTGACACCAGATGACAAGCTGGTTAACTTCCTCTCTATAGGCTGATTCATCCTCGTTGCTAATGAGGCCCACCACTGTTGTGTCATCTGTGAATTTAATGATATGATTCAAGTCATAACTGGCACAGCAGTCATGAGTCATCAAGGTAAACAACAGTGGTATGCGTGGGCTCAAAACACAGCCCTGAGGGACCCCAGTATTCAGGATGATGGTTCTGGAGGTTTTGTTGCCAACTCGTACTGTCTGGGCTGGGTCTATCAGTTAGAAAGTCCAATATCCAACTGCACAGTGAGGTGTTAATGCCTAGTGGGCCAAGTTTTTTCACCAAGTGCTGGGGGACAACTGTATTAAAGGCGGAGCTAAAATCAATGAAAAGCATCTGCACATAACTGTTCTTGCTCTCCAGATGTTCCAGGCTCAAATGAAGTGCTACTGCTATGGCATCATCGGTGGAACGATTAGGTCGATATGCAAACTGAAATGGGTCGAATGCTGCAGGGAGTCTGGATATGATGTGCCTTTTGACCAGTCTTTCAAAGCACTTCATTGCGATGGGAGTGAGGGCTATCGGCCGATAGTCGTTGAGTGTTGATACTGGTGACTTCTTTGGCAGTGGTCTGATGGTAGTAGACTTTAAACATGAAGGTACAATGGCTTGGCTTAGGGAAGTGGTATAGATGTCCACAAGTGGGACTTATAAAGTTTGTGATAGCACGCGAAGGCACCATGAGACCAGCTATGTCGTTATTTTTATCGCGCCATGCTCCCTGTCTGTGTAATTCATAAACGAGCAATTATTATGCACTGTACAATCAAATGACTGACTTTTAAACCAAGTAGGTTTTCTGCAAATACAACAGGCTTGTACTAATAGTGGAAAGTTTATTTGTATGCCGGGGCATGAGCTCTTGAAGCTCCGCCCTCTTCTCAAAAGGGGTCCGGGAGCACCAGCTCATTTGCATTTCTGTGGGGTATTTTGAGCTAAACCTTCACATGCACACTCTGGGGACATCAGAGACTTATTTTACAGCTTGTTAAAAGGGTCATGATAGGTCCCCTTTAAAGATAGAAACAAGTAAACACTTCAACTGAAACCTCTATCAGCCTACTTTTAAAATATCTGATGTGACAGAATATTGTGATGGTAATGGAAAGGTTGTTTAAACAACAATGCATAGTATGTGCTTTAAAATGTGGTATATAGTACAAGAAGCAAGCAGAAATCTCAGGTATGAGCAGAGGAGAGTCAAGACAATGAAACTACTGCAAACAATAGGCCAGCCCGAGGCAATCTGTGCTATAGTCTCATATATTTCTACTAGGACTGAATCCTATACTGTTTTTCATGTTGAGCTACTGCCTCCATCTAGATCGAGCTAGAGAAAGAGAACAGTCCGGTACAGAAACATAGACAATCAGTTTTTCCAAGATGAAAAAGTGCTGTTAAGTAACTGTACTGAGTTCGCATAACTGTAGGAGCAGTTCAAAACACCCTCAGGTCAAAGGTTCAGCTGAGACAGACAGATGTATGGCAGGAGAGGGTGGTGCCACAGCTGGCTTAAAGAAGCTAAAGTCAATATGACTAAATTTCTTTCATAAACAATTCCTGGTAAACTCCTACTCAACATTTCACACGGATATAATAGAGAAGAAGCAATAAGCAAGAAAAGTTGTCACAATTTCCATTTCATGCTGACTTTCGTATAGAACTGTTGTATGGTCACAGGTATACTCATCCAATCAGATTTTAAAGCCAGAATTGCATATAATATAGAAGTTAACAGAATGAATAGATGCTTCTGTTTTGTGACATTCATTATGGAGAGAGAACCCAGTTGCCAAACAATTTGTCCTTTACTTTGAAATAAGATTTAATTCTCTTTGCTGTTCTTGGAATAGATATCCACATAATATTCCACATAATTATTTAGCTAAGAGTATTTTACATTTTTGTCTACCTTGTACATATTTTAACGTCTAAGACTTTTTGTACGAGAATTACACTGTTAAAGACTTTTTATTGTATTTTTGCGGTAAATTACTGGCAGCACTATTACCAGTAAGTTACTGTAACTACCCCTTTACAGTAGCTTATCGCAATTTCATTTTAGAGTATGATGGCCTTACCGCAGTTTAATTTTACAGTATAATGCCCTTACCGCAATTTCATTGTACAGTATGATGGCCTTACCGCAATTTCATTTTACAGTAAAATACCCTTACCGCAACTTAATTTTACAGTACTATATCCTTACCGTAACTTAGTTTTACAGTATAATACTATTACAGTAATTTTACTGTAATTTATTTTACACTATTTATTTTATAAAACCTTTTTAATATTTTACATGAATGCCATTGAATTTAATAAATTCCAAATAAGTGACTTGAGTCCATGTACAACAGTATATGTTTTTATTCACTGTCACTATTACTTTTTTATTTATTGTGCTTTATTCTAGAACATTACAAAAAAAAGTAGAGAACTGAATTCATAACAAACCAAAGCAGAGATCATGACAATAGTGCAACAAAAAGAAATATGGCAACAAGCATCCCAGTTGGTCTTGGCTGCATGGCCTCCATGACAGCTGATCTGAAACAAAACAGAGGGGAAATGTGTGAGAAACGGTCATGAGTTTATCTCATCTATATTTGTTCATGGACAGACAAGGTAACAACTTGTGCAACAGCAGTTATTTCTAGTATAGTACTGTTTAAACAGTATTGCTTTTTTGCACATCCTTGTCAGGGAACTCCATTAATTGCCTGAATGTACAATCACATTAAAGGTACACTGAACAACTTTATGGTCCTTCAAACCTACACTTTTTTTTTTTTTGGCTGTTTTAAAGTATCTTTTATTTGTGACAGCTCTTGATCCAAGGAATATCAGTGTGTATCAGCTACTGTAACAACATTTGTATTGTTTGTAAATATTAGAGCAAAACAGGCTTTTGAGTCAATCTAGAAGTACTCTTGAAGAATACAGCATAATAACCTAAATTAATACTAGAAGTACTCTTGAAGAATAGGACTATAACCGAAATGAATACTAAATCAAGGTACATTAATGGCTGTCATCAAATTCTCAGAAATATTTCCAAATGAATCAATCCAATTAAATCATATGGAAACTGGAATCAGAATAAGAGAATAAGAATAATTGTGAATC